AGGGTGGAAATACATAAAGGGCATATTTGGCTGGCTTAAGTCATCGGCTGGCTTCTTCGGAAAGGACCAAAGGAGCCTAGGGTCAAAATCGAACTATGTCAACCTAAAACTCCTTTGTTCCTCTACGAAGAAGCCAGCCGATGACTTAAGCCAGCCAAATAAGCGCTTTATGTATTCCCAGCTTTCTTGCCTTCAAACGGCCGGTATTTTGGCCCATTCTCGGCGAAGCCCTTGCTTGAGGTGATCAACACTTTGGTTTTTTTAGTGCCAACCTTGCATTCCAAAATACTCCAGACACAATAGTCCAACGGATTGGTATCCGGAGATTTTGGTGGCCATTGTGCGCTGGAAATGAAGCGAGTAACCTCATTTTGTAACCATTCTTGGGTGGCGTGTGCTGAGTGCGATGGTGTTGAGTCCTGCTGGAATCTCCAAAGTTTGCGGCCATAATGTTTGCGAGCCCAAGGCTTAAAAAACACCCTCCAGAATATTTTCGCAAAAATATTCAGCATTTATTCTGATGCCACGGTTGATAAATACGAGCGGAGAGGGCCCATCGGCTGTTATGGCGGCCCACACCATCACCATGGCCGGCGCTTGACTTCTGGTGGCCAACCGATGGTGCACATTTTCAGCTGACCTCATTGGCAAGTAAACACGATCATTTTGTTTGTTTAAAAACTGCTGGACAACGAATATTTTCTCACTTTTGAAATCATTCAAGAACTTGGTTCCGACGGAAGCTCCATAGTGATGTTTTAGCAACCGAAATGACCAGTACTAGAAGAATTCCTCAAATTGTCGTTAGTTAGTCTCGATCTACATGAAATAAGACGGTGAGGAAGGTGAGGTTAGAAGTTTTACATCCTTAGTTACATAAAATCATGTTTCTTGAATTTACTTGTGTGTAGACCGGAACCTGTCGACAGTGTTAAATGGGCGGTGTGACCTCACTAATTAAGTCATGCATGATTTATGAAAGAAATTTGTCAAGTTATAAAACCATTTTGATTAACTTTTTGCTTGGGCGCCAGTCGTAAGCGAAATTCAGACACGGAGCAGAATAATATCTTCTCCAATGTTTTGCCTCTATAGTTCTAAGATTCCACTCACTTCCTAAGGTATTGTGATTACATACGATAGCTACCTAGTTCAATGTTAAATTATCCACCACTAAGCCGACGGTAAAACTGGTGGCCCCATGGACAGCAGAGGTGCGCCTTTTTCTAAATAGGCAAGTAAGTATGAAGATTATTGATTCGATCAACAACCGCCCATAATCGTAGGTGGTGTAATAGTGTAACCTAACCGAAAATCTCGTTATCTCCTTATCCCATATTTACAGTAGATTTAATGTTAATAGATAGATTGCAATATGACAATTTTAACAAAATTGGGAAATTATTTCCTGAATGGTATACCGTTGTAGTGAAGGTGCCAGAAGTAGTGGCAACGAAACTTTTGATTTAAAAATGGAATTAAATGTAATAAATGGAGGTACCAAAAGTAGAAATGGAGGTAACATTTTGGTTAAAATAATGGGGATGTACAGAGTCTAGATGCAATCTGAAAATAAATTCATATTTAATGTGAATTATTAAAGAAAGGAATAACGATTTTTTCAGCTTCTCACATTTTGCCGAAACTCTAATTAGATGTCGAATAGATTCTAACGAAATCATCAAACTTGGCATGGACACATACGATCGAGTTTTTTTTTTTTATCGACATTTCCTATATAAAATATCTAGTTGTCTGATTTGCTGTAACTATATAAACTGTCGACAACAAAATAAAAGAAGACCCAAGTAAGAAAGCAGTCGAGTTCAGACCGGCCCCTCAATTTAGAAAGATCTTGCAAAATGTTAAAAATAAATTCGCTGAAGAAAATGGCTCAAATAAACAAATTTTAAAATACCGAATATTACAGGCTAAGTTCTGTCAAAGGAGGTATGGGTACTACCATGGTACAATAAAAAGGAAAGGTAGAGCTACCAGCTGATTACAATTATTTTCTAATAGCCTGTTCAAAGAGCTTTTGTTTAAGGCAGACAAGCAACTGCTACCCAGACAATCAAGTTTTTATTTCAGTTCATTTACTTTTTCGTCTGGGAGTAAAAGCTCATTTTACCTATTGCCCTACTGTCAAAATTTTGTTTGTTTCCGTTGGTTTTGAACGTGGCGCGTCGGTGTCCGGACATAATCCTCACGGGGAATATGCCCGGTTTGGTTTTTGGTCATAATCTCCATAATAATGTGGGGTAGTGCCCGCTTCCAAAACAGACACAAACCCCATAAAGAGTATAACCCTTTGCAATGCGGAGTACTTAGAAAAATAATTAATTTTAGAAATCTTTGATTCGCGCTAGCCGGTGAGGGGTACGCTCAGAGGTGAAAATCTTAAGCCCCGGCCAAAGACCAGCTACTTACAAAAATTATGAAATTTTAGGTGCGGGAAAAAATCTCAATTTTTTGGAAAGTAGCGGGCATAACTCCCATAATAATGGCTATGTTCAAAGACTTTCCCTATGGATATGCTCAGGGCCCGGCAACTGCGAATCAAAGATTTCTAAAATTAATTATTTTTGTACGTAGTCCACCCAGCAAACGGTCATACTTTATTATTTGGATTATGGCGATTATCACCGATAAAAAGGTCATAATCCCCATAATGGCAATGGGGATTGAGACCGTGGGGATTATGTCCGGGTGCCGGTTTTGGATTTTCCATTTCAAATAAAAGTGTAAATGGGGGTGGCGGAAATATCAACCTAATCCGCTAAACGTTAGGTGATGCCACAAATTAGTTCTAGACCCACTATTTTACATATGTGTCTACCTATATCTCCGAGCTAGGTCGATTTAGCTATGTGTGTCCGTATGTCACTTTTTATTTGTAATCAGGCTATACGTCACAATTATGACGCAATTCTCACGAAATTAAGCGTTGAGTCAGGGTTAGGGTCAGAATAAATACCTATAGGACTTGCAATGGATCAACAAGAGATTTTTCCGATTTTGTAGTCTTTCAGGTCAATTTGCGCCTAATTGTGCGTGGGGTTAGAGTTGAGACCAGAGAAGAAGCGAACCTATTGGGATCGACACAGCACAGGGGATGAAGTGGACCATACCTTTTGTTTGAAATATCAATTTTCAAACACAATATTTTACTTTGCTCAAATTTTGTGAATAAACGATTGTGATTTTGATGATTTTTGATTGTCTACTTTGGCATTTCGTTTTGTTTGTGTTGGAGTTAGGTGAACCAAAATTTGTCTATAGATAAAAGCTCTTTTTATTTGCTTACGTACGGAAACCAAAAATTATATTTGTCTACCATTTGCCTTACAATTAAAAGAAAAATAAGTTTGGTGAACAGGCTAATGTGTACCCGACTTCTGCCAATTTTGTGTATGTATTTATTGCTTTGAAAACCAATGATTGGAAGACATGTACATTGCGGCTCGCGCCTTAAAGCTATTAACTTTAGCCATGAAATTGAAAGATTGAACAGTTTGGATCATATTTTTGAGAGAAAATCCAGGAATTTCATTAATTTTTCGCGCTATTTAACATATTTTAAAAATGAAGAAAAATATGAAAACAAATTGCTGCATATCATTTTGAATAAGTCAGACTGGAAGCGGGCATAGCCACAGGGCTATATTTCTGTAATTGTTCGAAGCTGTTCTACCTCCTTATTGCAACATGAGTACTACCTGCTACGAACTGCAATTCCAGTCAAAAGTATTTCATAAATCATAATAATACCGAATATTTGGAAGTACAGCTATACAGACTTTGAATAAAAATATTATGTAAGACTCTCCTTGCGTGAATCAAAATTGCTTACTATCATAGAATTGATGATGTAATACCTTTTTTGATTAAAGAACATATACTTATCTTATGTCGTTTTTTCGTAGCTGCAAATCGCTCCCAAAACTCTAATCGGGAAAGCAAATAGTTAAAGACATCTTTCGCTAGCTTAAATCTGTTATGAAATGTGTTCATAAATGTGATTGCATTGAAATATACAATTATTCCTGATCTAAATACGAAGAGGAAGAGGGCATGTCATTAGGATTGCATTTTAATAGTACTCACGAATCTGTTTTAACCCTTATTGAAAATTCGATATATTTAACAAAATAATAATTCTTAAATCTAGTGCGAAATTTGGCAATACCTCTCCCCAAAAATTATACGAAAATTTGTATAATTATATGTGTTATATTATGCGAATCTTCAAACCATGCACAATCCAACATGTTTATCGGCACTACATCTAGAGCGAAAATGATATATATCGGTCCTCTTCTTCTGGAACTTAACCCATCATTGGAAGAAGAAAAATAGTAATTGTCTAAAATGTAAAATTAGTGTCCAATATCCTTCAAATTTAGACGTTGTGTGACGGAGTTACCATGAACGTGATTTTTACATTGGATCTATGGTTGGTAGAAATATGGAGGTATACTAAGCTGAAAAACCTCTACATTGTTTCGCATGTTATTAGAACTATAATTATTCAGAAGAGGAGAAGGCACCACAAAGAGTAAACCTATCACTTTCACCCTTGCTTTTCGGTGTGTGATGTAGCATAATGCGTGTATATAATATTTTTTATGGCAAGTGACAAGCTTTGAATTTGGTTTTATTTTTTGTATCTCGTATAAGATTTTTAATGGATAGTAGAAAAATAATTGATGCATATTTGCAATTCTAGAACGCTGGGCTTACGTCCAATTACTAATGGAAATTGCACATCAAGATCCACTCATTGAAATAAAGACTACAAATTTTGAACTTGAAGATCTAAACTTAATTCCCCTTTACATTTTCTTTTTTCAAAATATTTCGAAAGCTATTTCAATGCCATGAATTTTTTAATGTTTACATTTTTCCTTTGTGATATGAAGAAAAAATATGTATGAAAACTCAAGATATTGGTTTCGGAGATCTAACTACTCAATTTGTAAAAAAAACAAAATGCAATATTAGGTTTTTACTATTAGTTTGTCTATTTTGTAAAAAAAAGTAATATATGTGTACATTAAATAATACTTTAAAATACATCAGTTCTAAAAATGTGAGTTAAACATTGTCAAGGCACTTATAACTATTTGTAATTTTCAGTATTGAGATTCATGAATGCATCCCGCACTACCACTAGAAACTCATTGGTGGAGGCGGTAACATATAGCCATGGGGATGATCAATAACAACTTTCAAAAACTTATCAGGCCATTCAAATTCTCGACGTTCACCAAGCTGACTTATTCTGTCTAGATTTGCATTTTTAAAATCTTCTATCATACGCGGAACCAAGTCATCGGTTATTAAAACCTGTATCCAGTATCCTATAACACCGTAGGGAGCTTCTTTAGTAACACCTGCTCCAGTCACGGATTCTGCTACAAAGGTCAGAGCTAAATGTTGAGCTTTAAAAGTAAAATGTCTACCATGTCGTATACGGTCTTTAATGGCCAGCAGTAAAAATTTGGCTGCATATGGAGCTATTTGCAACTCAATGCCATCCAAAGTTACAGAATCTGGGGCTTCTGGCTGATCATCTATGGGACAGGAATTGTGCAACGAGCTACCACTCATGGACATAGAGACAGGAAACGCCAAATTGGAGGGTTCTGTGCTCATTTCTCCTACATCTTCTTGTTTACATTTTATTTCTTCCTTGAGCGTCATCGAGTCCATCAATGTGTTCAATTCCTGTCCATCTTCCGTTTCACCTGTATTAGGTTGTGTATTGCGTATTCGTGGTCTGGGTATCTCTCGGAATGTAAATTCTGCATTAACGCCAGCTAAATCGGAGCCATCTCGTTCTAACTCTTCCTCAAGAGCCACCAAACGCTCAGGAAAAATGTCAAATACACTTAGAGTTCGGTCTATGTTAGTAACCCACCATTCTCCACCAGTCTGAATATCTTGCTTTAGATAATTTAGAACACCACGGCCGTTCCATCGGGCAGCTTGTTCCAACTCCTCATATGTTACTCCAACAATTTGACAAAAATCTACACTGCCGAAAGGCGTAATCATTGACTTGAGCTGTGGATCCTCAGCAATTAAAATATTCTGCAGCGGTGTATCGAATCTATCGTCTAAACCCTTGCGCCATGGTATGTTATCTCCGAAACACAAACGATTCCCTGTCCGGAAACAATAACGAGCCAAATTCTGCATGAGATTTGCGGGCCAGGTTGGAGGTCGAATTCTCTTTCCGGGATTCTCTTCTTCCTCTTTAAGCTCTTCACTTGTTTTCAGTAGGCGAAATGTCAATTCGAAACCCATTCCGGATCGTGATTGTGTCTCACTATCCTCACTGTCTAGTACATGAACCCGACCGTCGCCATGTAAATCGCTCAATCCAAAGCTGACATAAAACCAGTGAGGAGGGACTTTCTTTGCAACGTCTCCACGATTGCTGAACATACTGATGTAGTCCAGTGGATCTTGTCCTCCTAACCAGTATTTAAGGACTGTGGTTACTTGCAGCGGGTTCGGCTGATCAGGGTAATGCTCCAGTAATTTATCTATAAGTGCTTTCAAGCCGGCTGGTGGTGGACATCTTGGGGTACCAGCTCCAGTGCTTTGTTGACCTGGAGCTGAAGTCATTTTCTAAAAAAAAAATAATTTCTAAAATTTTATCTAAAAAACACAAAACAAAGTAATTAAACAAATTCTCAAAAATTCAAGTTGTGCCTAGACAACAAAGTCTGATGCTATTTTGGCGGCGGCGGTAAGCTGTTCTTCCTTTGTCCTTGGTACATAAACTCATTGAGAACTGTGTCCCCACTAAGTAAATTTACTTTCGGCAAGTCTCTGGTAATAGGAAGCATGGTACAATAAAAATGTAAGGTAGAGCTACCAGCTGATTACACTTTTTTTCTAAGCGTGTCCAGCTTCTGACAATTTTATGTATGTATTTATTGTTTTGAAAAACAAAATATTTTCAAAATTAACAATTGGAATTGAAACATCGAACAGTTTAGATCATATTTTTGAAATGAAATTCAGGCATTTCATTCATTTTTCGCGCTAATTAACTCATTTTAAAAATAAGGAAAACAACTTGTTGAAAGCAAATTTGACAGGAAGAAGGCATAGCCTCAGGGCTGTATTTCTATCGTTGTATTTCTATCTTTTTTAATAAAAACTTTTAAGCAAAGGATGCTAAATATGAATTAGAATTAAAAGAAATATACATTACTTTTTTAAATTATGTTGTTTTTTGTGAAAAAAGAAATATTGCAATTGATTTCTCAATTTCACTGAGCACATACTTGTTGAATACTGAATTCCTGTACCTGCCCTAAAACGATTAATTAATGATAAAGTGAGTGTCCTTTTTATTTTGTTTTATCTCTTTGCCTCTGTTTACTATTCGTAATACCCGTTTTTTTCGTTTTCACATATGAATAATGTTTGTTTGAAGAAAAAAGTGGCTTTCAAGACAAAAATAATGTGACAACACTATGTAGCTTCGTGCATTGAGAAATTAATTAATTAATTAGCGTTTTCTGAAGAAGCTAAATACGAAATTCAAATTACTTTCGTACGGAATTCGTTCCTGTGACATTCCTGTATGTATTAAAGGTGAAGGTACATAAACAGCTTGGCATCATAGCTAGGCATATTAATGTCAAATTATAAAGTGAAACGACTGCAGACTTTGAGTGCTGCTTTGACATCCCTTCATGAAATGTCAAAAAATATGTCATGCGAAGACTTCAAGCTGTTTATGTACTCTCATCTTAAGACATGTTTACGTTAGAGACATGACACAATTACAGAAGGTAGAACAAGGCTACCCCCTAAATACATTTTTTTCTTTTGGTGTTCTTATTCTGTCAAAACATATACACATTTTGTGTATGAGTGTGTATTGTTTTGAATAAAAAAAAAAAAAAAAAATATATATATATATATATATATATATATATATATATATATATATATATATATATATATATATATATATATATATATATATAATAATTTGAAATTATTTCAAATTCGGTTGCAAAACAAATTCATATTTTCAACACATTGTATGATTTTGGGATAAAATTGTATTGTCTTACTATTTTAGATTCAATATTGTGGAATAAACCCACAATATTATCGCGGGTATTCCTCAACCTTTCTAATTGAGCCATGGTTTGAGCTTTTTCCGGGTTTACCTTCGTTATGAAGATTTATTTGAGGTACATTGGAACAATTATACAAAAACTTAAAATTTTGGGAGGTGCTTTATTTTTCTTGCAGAATTTCACGAATGTGAATAAACATTTTTTAACATCAATTGTCTCTATGTTAGGTTTTTCATAGATCATGTTTGCTTATTTTTTGTTTGTGTGTTTATACATAAAACATACCAGCCATGGCAGAAGAATACAGGTAGATGCATCCATGGTAGAATGATATCAAGGTAGGGCTATGAAACCATATGATTTTAATTTTTTTTATTTTCTTGGCTTAATATGTCATCTTTATTTGTTTATGTATGTGTTTTTTTTTCAATAACAAAAAAATTGTTCAGAAAACATTCAAATTCGGGTGTTTTCATGGTACAATGATATAAAGGTAGGGCTATGATACCATATGATTTCAATTTTTTTATTTTCTTGGCTTAATATGTCATCTTTATTTCTTTATGTTTATGTATGTGTTTTCCTTTCAATAACAAAAAAAATTGTTCAGAAAATATTCAAAATCTGGTGTTTTCAAAATGTTTATTCCAACCTATGCATCGACAAAATCTAGAGTTTTTGTAGCGAAATAATCCTTTAGACATATATAGTACATGATTTTGAAAAGAAGTGTCGACCTTTCATTCAGTTATCGCTTTTTCAATTATTTATTCAAAATAAATGCAACAAGTTGTTTGATTTTTTATTGTTTTGATGCTAATTCTGACATTACAAGCCAATATATAATTCGCGTTTTTCAACAATTTTTACAAATTTAAATAATTTTTCATTCAACATTTTCAATTCCAAAATTGGTTTAACAGTTCATTGTCCCAGCAGCTGTGTCGACGCGTCTACCTATATTCTTCTACCATGGTTATACGATTGACAATATCTTATTTTCAAAATCTATATTCATAATACACACAAAATCAGAGATGGGAACTGTTGTTTTTGCATTGAAATTTGACAAGGTAAATTACCATGGTTACCCATGGTAAAATTAAGAAGGTAAAGTCATTTCAAAAAAAGCACACCCATCTCTGCATTTTCTGTAATTTACCTTGTCACTTTTCTTTACATAAAAACAAGTTCCCATTCCTGATTTGTGTATGTACAATGGATTTATAAATACAAATTTTGACAATGAGATGTTGTCAAATGAATAATTTTTGAAAAAATTGTAAACATATCTTAGCATGACTTTACCTACTTGATTCTACCATGGGTTAACCACTAGAAACTGCGCTTTTATACTTACAACCATGCTTATAACACGCATTACTATGTAGATTCTGTACTAAATTAAAAATAAATAAAAAAAATATGTTTATTATGTTTATATATATCCGGTCTAAACCTGATAATTGGACAATCACAATAAATGCTAATATAGAAAAACATGCAAAACAAAACTGAATCTATGATTCTGTTTTGACTTACGGTCAACGTAACGTAAAAGGCATAAGAACGATTTGCCGCTTTTATTTAGTTCATTTATATTATCGCCGTTATCTAATTGTTTAGTTTGGCTCGGTGATCTATTCGAGTTTGCAAAATTATTGCAGAGCAAAATCGTTGTAGCCAAACTGAGTCTTTTTTCTAATCAAATTTAAGTAAATTAATACTCGCAACGCACAAAAATGGAGCCCTACAATCAGCCCGTGGTTATTGACAATGTAAGTTTATGGGTTCTATCCGTTTCCCTTGTGAAAACAATCAGAGAAATGTTTAAATGCATTATTACAAGGTGCGGTGCGGATGAGTAGTAGTGACATCACCTGCCTTACTGCCGCGCTGGCCCTCTCTTCCAGTCATCTGCTGAAAATCTGTTGGTAGTTGATACACCAATAGCAACAATCCTAATAAGTCTGCCAACAACAAATACAATGAATGCGATGATGACTAAACCTTTGGGTGGTTGAGTTACCAAAATAAAAACCAGGTTTAAAGGGGTCTGCTTGAAAAATAACATGGAGACATTTTCTTGTATTTTGTTTACCTTTTATATTTAATACAAGAAGTCCAATCATATTGGCCAGTCAGTTTTATGCCTTCGTTTAGAGACAATTGACGTCCGTAGTTCAATGGATAAATGACTGGTTGAGTTTCACGAACCCAATTCACAGGCAGCATTAACAATTCGCTACACTTATCCCTTGTTCGAAGGCCACATTTACCATGGTGTCGCTTGAACTCCGAGGGCCTTGGTAGTTTATTATATGGATCTCTATAATAATCTCGGAAATTTTGGCAGTCGATATAGAATTGATCAATGTCGTATAGCCGTCCATAATCCACAATGGACAAGCCAACTTCGGGAGCAAACCCTCTTAGAGATTTCCGCTGATTTTGGGAACTCTTCGCAACTTGTAACATATCAACTTCTGGCGTTTTAATGAAGCTCATCTTGGCGTACGAATTGTAACAAAGAAGATTTAAAAAATAATTATAGATTTGAAAACTTTCTAATTTTCCTATTAGTCTTTTATTTGAATTTTTTTAATGACAGACATTTTACTCGTTCTTTACAGGGTTCTGGTATGATCAAAGCAGGTTTTGCCGGAGAACATATACCAAAGTGCCGATTTCCCAACTAGTGAGTTTTTCAAAAAAAAAAAAAAAAAAAAAAATGTATCTTCGAAGTTTCATATTGTCGTTCATTTTAGTGTGGGCCGTCCCAAGCATGTTCGTGTGATGGCCGGTGCTCTCGAAGGTGATCTGTTTGTCGGTCCAAAAGCCGAGGAGCATCGTGGTCTTTTAAGTATACGCTATCCCATGGAACATGGTATTGTTACCGACTGGAATGATATGGAGCACATTTGGGGATACATTTATAGTAAAGTATGTTCATTGGGTAAATATACTATTTTGATTTGTCGTTAGTGGTCTGTTCCAGAACCTAGTACAATATATATTTTTTTAAAGTTTTAGAAGTAAACTGTTCTAGTGCCCAAAAAGGGAACAAATTTTCTTTAGAGACAATTGGCGTAAATCAAGCTTTTAACAGAGGTATTTCTTCCCTAAATGTTTGGAACAAATTGAGTTTAGCTCCAGCTGGCGGAAAATTCTGAAATTTTTACCGAAGGCAGGTTTTCTTATCCTAACCACAGCTAACAGTGTTAATCAATACTTCCCGAGGTACAAGGTTCAAAAGTTCCAAAAATACCATTTTTTAATGTGCCCTTTTTAAACCGATAATCGAAATAAAATTAAATTTTCTCCTCTGGGTTATGTCCAACACCAGCTTGGCGGATCAAAAGTTTTTAAAGAAGCCGGCCTTCGGCCGTGGCTTGAGATTTTCTCCTCTGGAGTATGTCCAACACTGGCTTCGCGAACCAAAGTTTAATTAAATTTAATATTTTTTAAATAACCAAAAAATATAAAAGAAGTACTTTTTAAAATTTGGAAATCTATATTCCGGGAAGTATAGAACCACCTCCCGAAAAGGTTTTATTGATGTAATCACTATCTGTAGTGACATTTTGATGTTTTATTGCGATTATCGGTTTAAAAACTTTGGAACCCTATATCTCTGAAAGTATTGATTTCCCCCCAAAATTGTGCCGCTGTGATTGGGATAACAAGACCTGCCTTTGGTAAAAAGGTCAGAATTTTCCGCCAGCTGGAGCTAAAATCAAATGTCAAGTTCTTTACTTTTGCCGTGACTGGACTATGTCTAAATTCGGTTAGAATTTAGGCTATCATTTAACAATAATAAGCTACAAAAATTGTTTTGATTAAACGTGCAGTTAATATTCATTCATGTGGAGTCATGTTCGATAGGAATTTCTATTCATAAATAAATCGGATCAATAGAGCCGTGTCTTCCGCAAAGAAGATTATTCCGGTCTAATCAAAGTAAAAGGCAATTTAATCTACTATACCAATTTTTTAGTCCGCAAAATATGCTGTGTAACACAAATATAAGAATAGAGATAAAAAACAAATGTAAGGTTTTATATAAATTACAGCAAGGATATCTCCTCAAAAACAAACCATTGGTATATTTGGATCGATTTACATTTCCCAAAATTTATTTTTCATTATTTGTTATATCTAACGTTTTTTGTACCATTAATTACAGGAACAACTGTCGACATGCACCGATGAACATCCGGTATTGCTGACGGAGGCTCCCTTAAATCCACGCAGGAATCGTGAAAAGGCTGCTGAGTTTTTCTTTGAGGGCATTAATGCACCTGCTCTTTTTGTTTCGATGCAAGCCGTGTTAAGTCTGTAAGTAAACAAAATGAAAGCTTCTATGTCTGCAATATTGACTGAATTTTGTGTTATCCTAATTTCAGTTATGCAACTGGCCGCGTAACAGGTGTTGTGCTTGACTCTGGAGATGGCGTGACACATGCAGTGCCCATCTATGAAGGTTTTGCCATGCCTCACAGCATCATGCGTGTCGATATTGCCGGCAGAGATGTTTCACGATATCTTAAGACTCTTTTACGTAAAGAAGGATTTAATTTCCGCTCTACAGCCGAATTTGAAATTGTCCGCTCCATTAAGGAGAAGGTTTGCTACTTAGCAACAAATCCCCAAAAGGAAGAAACGGTGGACACTGAAAAATTCTCCTATAAACTGCCCGATGGCAAGACACTAGAGGTAAACAATATAATTGATCACCTGGTCAAAAATGTATTTTTTAAATAACACACTTTTCAAATTTAGGTGGGACAAGCACGTTTCAGAGCGCCTGAAGTTCTATTTAGGCCAGATTTGTTGGGTGAAGAGTGTGAGGGTATTCATGACGTTTTAATGTACGCCATTGAAAAGTCCGACATGGATCTCAGAAAATTCCTCTACCAAAACATTGTATTGTCTGGCGGTTCTACATTGTTTAAAGGCTTTGGTGATCGTCTGCTGTCTGAATTAAGAAAACATTCGGCAAAGGATTTAAAAATTAGAGTAAGTTCATCAACAATTATATATGAGTTGTTAAGAATTGTAGAAACTTGAATTTATGTTTGTCTTTGACACAGATTGCAGCTCCACAGGAACGTTTGTACTCTACGTGGATGGGTGGCTCTATTTTAGCATCACTGGATACATTCAAGAAAATGTGGATCTCAAAGAGAGAGTACGAAGAGGAGGGCCATCGTGCTGTGCATAAAAAGACTTTCTAGAGCAATTCTACTCGTCATTATTTATTGTAAAATGCTTGTATTTTTTTAATTTCCTAAAGATATTCACAAACTGTATTTGTAATTTATTTTTGCGTGTTTAAGACATACTTTAGGCGTAAAATTACTTACCAACTTGTATTCTAAAGTCATTAAAAGTTATCCAACTAAAAAGGATTTAAAAGATGTGACTAATAAAGACATTTAATATGTTCAAGTATTAAAAACGGAATCGCCGCAGCTGCCACATGAGGATGTGGAGAAAGCCAGAATACAAAAATTTTCAATAATAGAAATTCGCTTTCAAATCTATTTTGATTGTATTTATAATATCTCTTTATGCCGTTATCAACTGAAATAGATAATATTGAAAATGGGAATAATAAAAATTAAGAACTAACAATTGGATTGTATTTATAGGTAAGGGTAACCAAGAGATCAATTCAGGGCTTAGTTTCTTCTTGTTGTCAAAAGAAAAATCATTAATTAACGTAAAAAAGAAAACAGGGAACTAAGTAGGGAAAACAGGATTTTTTTCGTAAAACGCCAAAGGAGGTTAGAAAATTCAAGTGATGGAAGTATTTGCTCTGTGTCCATTTTTTGGAAATGATTAAAGCTGCACGAGGTGATCAAAATGTACCTTAAACTTAAAACTTTCTAAAAATGATGAGTAAATTTAGTTTCCATTGGTATAATATGCCTAATTGGAACATCCAAAAGATATTCTATGAATTTATTCATTAATATTCTCCACTTCAAATCAATGACTCAACGATTCAGATTATAATGCAATTTCTTTCCTGGTTATTAAACGATCACAGTTAAAGTCACCTAAGGACAACATGTTTTCGTAAAGTTAAGCTTTCTTCTACCAAAATACTATATGTGACGAGCGCTTAATATATATAATTACTTTGCAAAAAAATTACTTAGCGATTGCTGCTAATCTGCGAACCGAATTGAACGATATTCAGTAAATTCAGAAAATAACAGTCGTTCCGCGATATTTATGCTCTACCCTCTTAAATTGTTGGGAAAATCAAACTGGAATTGCAATTATTATAAAGAACAAGTTAAAAAGTATCCGTCGGTTTTGTCGACAGATATATACCCTCAGCCAATGTACGATTACTTAAAAATATTTTGACTTCTGTTACGATTATTCAAATGTTAAACCCCTTATGGAGAAGGTTCCGAAGGAATAGGCCAATATTGGACATTTCGGACCTAAATAAATATGATATAAATATTGCGACATGCCAGGTTTTGGACTATATTGGTAACTTCCTTCATTTTACATGAGATATATGGTAATTTTTAGCATGTGCGTGAGGAACCATATATAGTCGACCGAAGCATTCCATTTTCATGCTTCATCTAATACATATAAAAATATTGGTATGGGCAATATTACAAGAAAATCGAACATTTATATCCAATTTATGGAAAATCATTAATTCCATATTCATCTCAGATTTCTGGCAAAGAGAGATATATTTAGTTATAGCAAGTCGTAAAGAATCGCTGTCTTATTTCGCAATTTATAATAGATAAAAGTATTGAAAATTGTGACCCTCAGCCAATGTTCGATTATTTAAGTATGTTTAGACTTCTGTTATGATTATTCAAATTGTTGCCCCTCTATTGAGTGGGTTCAGAAGGAATGAGCCAATATTGTCCATTTCGTATCGGACCTAAATAAATACGATATAAATATTGCGACGGGCCAGATTTGGACTATATTGGTAACTCCCTTCTCTTTACATGACATATCTTATAATTTTTACAAAATCTTTACCGAAGTATTCCATTTTCATACTTCATCTGATACATATAAAAATATTGGTATGGGTAAAATTTACAAAAAAAAAAACCGAACATTATTTCATACATAATTTCCACGTTATGACAGTTAAAAATATTGAAAATTGTGAACCTTTGCGAGTGAGGTACCAGAAGGGTTTCGCAGATATATCATTTTCACAACAGATATTGTATTGGCAAAAACGTTTGTATGTGTGAAATTTGAAGAGCCTTTGTGGGGCAAGTACTAGACCCATATATCCCATCTTCACAACAGATCTTGCGTTAGTAAAAATAATGGGATGCGTGAAATATAAGGAGAACTTTGAACATATTTCGGATTTTATAAACGTTTTCGTTATTCAAAACTTTGACCCTTTGTGTACCAGGATTCGCAAAGTTGGAGCAAAATCTGATTATTCTTTCTCTTTCTGTACAGAATATATATATATATAT